GAGCCAAGTCGGGCCACACCTGACCGCGTCCCGCAGCAGCAGCCGGGCAGAGCCCAGACCCTGGAGTCCAGAGGGAGCTGGGGCTGGGAGGGGCAGCGAGGGGAGCAGACACTTACAATCGAAGCGGTTCGTGTTTAAGGGCTCCATCTAGTCCTTTTTGTCCCAGCGAGAGGTGGGTCAGGTTCCGCTCTCGGCACAGCTGTAAACGGGAGGCAGCGGGAACAAAGCAGAGGTCAGACGGTGCTCTAACCAAAGGGGTAATTCTGACTCCATTAAAATTCTCGCTCCCGTTATGCGTGGAAGCAGAAGGCTGTGCTACTACTTGTAGAGAGCTGAACCACCCTCAGGGTGACTCACAGCCCTTAACAGAGCTGCCACGCTGATTTTACAAATATTAGAGCAATGCCTCGGAGTCAGTGTTTTGTACAGTTTAACATATCAACTTGGGGGCAAACCCATAGCTCTTTTATAAAGCTCCCCTTCCCTGTATTTTATTTCCTTTCTTGGTGCCAGAATCGGAGCCAAAGCTGAGCTTAACAAAGCAACAGGCAAGGCCGTTCTTCCCAGCCCTCATTTCCCCTGGTGGGAAGGGAGAAATTAATTTAAACCCTATCAAAACAGCAAAAGCTGTTCGCCACTCCGTGCTGCAGAGCACAGCGTGAGCGGAGTACTCACTTGAACCATCTGCATTTGCCAGCCCAGCCGTGGGTACAGGAACATGCAGGTTGGAATCCCTTTGTTCAGGCATCTGCAACAGACAAACGTGATCTCAGCTATTTCGCAGGCGGCAGCGACGGGGGGATGCTTGGGATGCAGACAAGACAGAAGGGCTCTTACCTCATTAAATGCTCTCATTTCTTTTCTTTGAGCTCTTATTCCTGGATCCACTCAGGTGCAGCAAAGCCCTCCCAGCAGCTTCTGTGCCTGTCCCAGCCCTGCGGTAGCCTGGAGCAGCTCTCAGCCAGCCGGGCAGCCCTGGAGCGCACAGACACCACGCACGAGAGGAACGTGTGCCCGTGCGTGCACTAGGCTCACCAAAGCCTTTGCAATGCGGGTAAGGGAGTGGAGAAACTTGTTGTTGAAGCAGAGAGAGACCAAAACCAGGAATAACCCCTGTGGCGCCAAGTGAGCAGTGTTGCTGACCTGCCTTTGGGATCGGGGAGCCATCCCCCTTTCCCCATCTGCTTCTGCTTGCAGGGCTGATTTATCACCTTAGTATCCAAAATAATTCTACAAACATTCTGCTTTCAGTCCGCCGTTCTGTATTTTCTCAGATCTTCTCCCTTTGCCAAAGTATTACGCGTACCACACTCAACTACGCGGAAAGTCTTAGAAGAGACTCAAATCAAGGCCCAGCCAGAAGGGCTCACATGAAAAACCATAAAACTATTAACAGAAGGGTAAGATTCCATTATTAAGACCATTCAGTAAGGTCGTGTCTACTCCTAATAGACATAAAGTGCTTTTACATCAAGTTAAACATTGCAATTAACCTGCTTCCCACGCGCGCCTGTCACACACCGCTGGTGCTGGCCCCGCAGGTTCAGAACCATCCTGTTCTCCACAGCACCAGGGACACCCCTCTCTGCATTCAGAGGGGCAAATACAATCTACACCAGGATTTCCCACCCACTTCCACCTGCTTTGGCTCTGCCTTAACGCCCTTAAATCACATCAAATGGGATTGAGGTGATCAGAATATTTTCAAGCCATCTTCCTCTTCTCACCTCACACTCAATTCAAGAATTTTTTTATGTAGGGAGAATCAAGTTGAGCCAATGTTCAAGTGGATTTTGCAGTGAAGACAAAGCACTTGATCAAGTTTCTCTCAGCAGTACTGATGTAGCCTGAGGACTTCCATAACGGCAAAACCTTCACACCGATGCCCAAGATCAGCTCAATGCAGCCACAAGAGGGAGTCTTAAAACTCCCGCGAATACCCAGATGGATTCCGGTTTCAAAACGCTTCCAGTACAAGAGTACGCAGCAAGCTTTCGAAAGAATTTTACAAACCTATCCTGAGCTCCAAATTTCTTCTCTGGCTGTACAGGAGTATCTTTGTTCTGAAGGTAAAGCTTCTTTAAAATTATGAATTCTTGGTACAAAGATGCAGGTTGTGCTTTTCTTATGAATGGGGGGACGGACAGACATCTGTCTTACTTATCTGTTCTAGAACCACTTTGCAACTGAAAGCAGAGGAAGAGAAGTACAAGAATGGTTTTTGCCCTGGCCAGTCTCAGCTTAAAAATATCTGAAAGGTTGGTTCCAGCTGAACTGGCTCCTGAGAGTCTCTGTTTTTATCAGGGATAATGCGTAATACAGCAAGGAACGGAATCAAGAAACTGGCAAGAGCGCTAAACAAAACCAATTGCTACCACCTCCTGCTCGGCTTTGGGGGCTCTAAGCAGAGCAGGAGCTGCTGTTGGACTCCCGGCCTTTTTGTCCCACAGGACACCTTCCCCAGCCCTTCTGCCTTGGGACTTAAGCAGACCCGTTTGAGAGCAAGGCATGTCAAACTGCCAGATGTCTTGGAGGGTGGCCTTCTCTTCAAAAGGAGGCCACTGCCACAGCAGGAACACCCCCCCTGCCCTACTGAGATTAGACATGGCACTCGGATTTTACTCTTCCCATCCATAATCTGAAAGAGCAGAGCAGGTTCTGCCTAATCTAACCCCTGGCGTGCCAAGCTACCATAACACTAGCTTCATATTCTTACAATTGGACACACGTGATCAGAAGCTCTAGCAGAGCTAAGAGCCTACAACCTGATAGCACTTCTCACATCGCCAGAGAAATATCTGTGTTGAATCTGTATGTGTCTGCTCTCAGTCTGCCAAAAAAACGTCAAGATACATTCCTCAGAAATACTTTTATGGTCTTTACTCAGTCTTGACATTCACTCGTCCTAAAGTTTCCAAGAAAACATTACAGCTCCAAAGGGGGCATCTATGTTTGAGTAAAAGCACACAATTTTGAGAGGAATAGCTATGTACAGGCACTGCCCGAAGCACCACGAAACAGACCTCTGGCAACGCTTCCCCGCAGAGCTTCAGCCAAGAGATAAGGACAAGAAGCACTTATCTCAAAGAGGTTAATGAAAAAAGCGCTCACGGTGCAGCTGAATTCTACTTGACTTTATCACTTCCTTGTCCTCCTCCGCGGTTCCCTTTTGTACATTCACCTGCCCACTCCTGCTTGAAACTGAAGAGAGAACCTAGGCAAGCAGAGAGTTAATTCTGACTTTTGAGCACGGGGCATCGTTACTGGATCAACCACCTCTGACCCAAGAGGTAGTAGATTCAGTTGTCATGAAACAGGTGAACACTCTTAAACCTTTGAGGCTGCAACATAAATCGCTACTTATTTTGCTCACAGTACTACCCAGCTTGAGGGTGGGGCTCACGAAAGGCTGCTTAAAAAGACTGCCCCCCCCATTTCCGCGTGTCATTCTTTTCAGAAGCGATTTAATGGGAAAAATACTCTTTAATTATGATTAGGGGCTGACTAGTGGAATGCCCACGCCTGCTTATTCAAAAGCAGATGTTCAGCAGTGCAATGTTTCATACGTTACGCTGACAATAGTACGTTACTAGCAAAATGTAGTAAGTAATATCTCCAAAGTCTTCCTGTGACGTTGCCTAACTCTTGGAGCGGGTCAGCCACGAAAGATCAGATGTGACACGTGTTAACATCCCAGAACAATTTATCCTCTACTTGTCCAAACCTCATTTCACTCACTCAGCTGAATGTAATTAGACCTCAAGCTTGTCCTAATTTCAATCTCTGCAGAAAAGGGATTATCCTTCTTCAGTGAGACATGGCTGCTCCGAACTGCTGGCAGGGATCTGCAAGGGGGAACTACAAAGGTGCTTGTTGTCTCACAGATTTAGGCGAGGGGCTTCTAAGACAGCAGGATAAGTACATTAAAATGCAAACACGTATGCCGTAGCACCTGCTTTGAGTTTCAGTCAACGCATCCAAGCAGGAAGTAGCAAGAACCCATGAGCCACACAGCGCACGAGTTATTTTTAGATAAATGTTATACAATTTTCCCTCTAGTTCCACGGATCGGAAACACATGCTGCAGCTACAGACCCGTTACCATTTAATTCTACTCCAAAGGAGGAGATGGTAAATCTTCAGGTGTTAGTAACAGGCTACTTGAGGAGCAAAGCACTATTCGAGTCTTTGCTACAGTTCAGGCTTCAGTGTTTAGCCCAGAGCAAACCTAAACTGGCTTTGTGGGAACACGTTTAATTTTTTCTGACCTTTGTAATAAGGTTCTTGCTGTTGAGTGGCAGTGGATGAAAGACTTTCAGATATTGTAGAAAAGGTAAAGCAGGCTGATCCACTCCTCTATCAAGAAGAGTATCACAGTGAAGCAATGGGAAGGACCCGTCCCAAACCTCTCATGTTAGGGCCTTGGGACAGAAGACAATTCACCTTCTCACACCGTGTAACAGGACAGGAAGAGCCTTTAGGAGACCATTTTTCCTTATCGGTGTTAAAAATGTAGTGGTTTTTCTAATGAAGTAGCTTATGCTCCCCACAAAATAAAGTAACACCAGAAAAAGGAAGCCACTAACCTAGCTGCACGAGGAACGAGTAGCTGGGAAGCAGAACGAGGAGCTTTGTCAGATGCACTAATGGACCTCACACCCAGCAGCAGCCACAGATTTGATAAAACCTTTGCTCCAAGACAGATTTTTAGGTCAAACCTACACGGGAGTCGCTTCAAAAAAAATGCACAATTGCCAGTTGTGAGCATGTTTAAAGAAGTCTATTAAGCTATGTAACGGTTTGAGGTTCTTTAATCATTAAAGTTATTCCAACACATCCCGGACAGTTTACATTTGCAAGCAATACATCTTTGCACTTGAGTTACAGCACCATCTGCCCGCTTTACCAGGGCCAGAAGAAGAGCCTACTGCCAAACACAGAAGGCTTCAGCTCTCCTTCAATGGGTGGGTTTGGCTCTGGTCTAGGTCTAGAGTGATAGGCATTCTCAGGCTTCGGACGGTCTGTCTTCACTTTCGTAACCTGGAAAGGAAAAAGAAGAAATGATACAACTTCTCACAGCTAGACTGAGTCAGGAAGGAAGAACTACAAAGAAATACCAAAGACACGCCGTTGATCTCATGAGAGCTCCTATCTCCAGAGCACTTAAAGAAAAAAAAAAAGAAAGAAAAAAAAAAGGGAGGGGAAGGGCATTTCGCTCACAACTACAGAGTAGTTCTACGTGCATGTGAGCTTCACACCTAAAGGAAAGGTCTGTGTGCCAGGAAAAGCAAAAAGCAAGAGTAAATGTCACTGTCTAAGAAAAGTGCAAGTCTTCTACAAAAGCCACCCTGGAGAATGCCAACAGTCTTGACTTCTATTAAGTCCACCAGCTTCCATTGTGGAGTCCATTAATCACCTTCTGGCTGGGAGAAGAGTTTGAGACCTGGTCTGGACAAAAAGTCTGTAAGAAGGGAGAGAAGAATCTGGGTAACCCATCAAAGAGATATGAAGTTACCTTAGAGAGCTGGCCCAGATCAGGTCTCACCCAACCCAGTTTCTCCAGCACACAGTTATCAAACACTGCCTGCTGCTTTCGGCAGCGACGCAGCTCCTGCAGGTTGGTGTAGTCGATGCATGTCCAGTACTCGGTAAAAGGCTCTGCACAATGTGTCTTTATCTTCCTGCAGGAGACCACAAAAAGAGATTTGTTAGCAAGTGTTATAATTTTAACGCTTTTCTCTCTCACTCATTCAAAACTCAATCTGGGACAAAGCGTTTTGCGTTAAGTTCTCAGCAACATTTAAAGTCTTTAAAGAAGTCAGTATTTGAAGCACCACTAAACCATCCTGATACTGATACCAGTACAATCTGCAACAGTGTGGCTACAAGTGAAGAACGTAGTAACTAACAGGTGGAAGGCGTTCTTGTTAGGTAAATGTACACCGTTCCTTGTTTTGCCAGATAACTTAGCATAAGTCATACAATGCTCTAATGTTTCCCAATTAATCTGACGTCTTAAACTCCATTAGACAGGCTGAGCACACAGACTTCTGATTACTAGCTGCTGGTTTAGAAGTGGATGTGCTTTGAGCTAATTAAAGCACAGATTTCTGATTACTAGCTGCTGTTTTAGAAGTGGATGTGCTTTGAGCTAATTAAACTACGCCTTTTACTGACAGCTATAGCACAGGCCTCAGAGCTGCGTTTTTGGTTAGAGAGGAGAACGGTTTATCTCCTCGAGCTTTCATAGCAGCGACAGAGAGGCCAGACAACGCAAAGCTTAGGCCGGTTTCCTGCACTTTCTAGCGCAGGGGAAGGTGCAGAAGCAGCAAACCTTCCTCCACCTCCCCCAGCATTCCTTTGCAACCTAACAGAAACCTGAGCCACCTCTTCTGGAGCTTCCTACGAAAGGATAAATAAATAAACCAAAGAGCACGGTCTCTACTCTCAGGAGTTAAAAGTTTCAGAGCTGCGGGCCGTGTCTGAAAGCCGCGGTGGCAGCTTTGATTTGAACCAGCGCTGGGACAAG